CAGAGAACCTCCTGTCTCTGAATGCTGGGATTAAAGGTGTGCACCACCACTGCCCGACTTTCATATAAGGTTCTTTTTAGTGACTAGATGAGCATGTGAACTATCTAGACCAATACCTGGCAAAAGGCTTCATGTGTTTTCAGAGTTTCCTTGTAGTTTTTCCATAACTTCTCCATACTAGAAGTAAACAGTTTCTTGAATTTGTAGTTATATAGTATTGTTTTTATTTGTAGATTTATCATAGAGCTCTGTTTATCAAACTTTAGTGCTTTTCAAAATTAACTGGCAAGCTAGGTACCATACCGAGACTCCAATTCCAGGGAGGTCTAAGGTAGATTGTAGGTATTTTTTTTTTCCTTTTGTTGAAATGGGACCTTGTTATGTAGACTGGCAGGCCTGAGGTTTACTAATTAGGACAGACTAACCCTGAACTTGCAACCACTTTCCACCTCTACCTCCCAAGTGTCGGGACGTGGATGGGCACCAGGCTTCAGGACTGTTTCCAGCAATCTCCACAGCTGACTGGGAAGTGTTCCTTTTCTGGATAGGAGGGATGAAAAGTCTAAATGTAAAAGTTAAGGTTCTCAGAAAGCTTAAATCTTCAATATCTAAAAACCGGACTCAGAATTTGGGGAGTCACCTATATTACATCTCATCTTAAATATGAGTAGAGCACCTGGCAATGCTGGGCCCTTCTAACTTACTTAATCAATTTCTAAAGCTGAGGAACAAGTATTAAGAGTTACTGAACATTAGGGGTCTATAAACCTTTCTAAACATGACCAGATAATGAATATTTTAGGCTTACGCAGTTCTGCTATGCCAGTAGACACACAAAAAAAGAACTGATGCTCTCTAATAAAACTTCCGCTTGCAACAGAGTCTCATGTAGTCCTGGCTGGCCTGAAACTCACTAGTAGACGAGTCTGGCTTCAAACTCATAGAGATCTGTCTGTCTTTACCTCCTAGGTGCTGAGATGACAGGTATGAGTCACTGTAACTGCCCCAAACCTTATTTATAAAAAGAGATACTGATTCTACTGTGAGTCATTGTTTTAGGTTGAGTTCCCCAGAAAGAATCCTGAGAAGGAGATTCATATCCAAGTCATTCTTCCAGTAGTAACTTCCAGGAGAAACTGGTAAGAATGGGGAAAGGAAAAAAAAAAAAAAAAGAAGAAGAATGGGGAAAGGCAAGAAAATAAACAAAATTGTGATCTCAGGTAGAATTTCCCCAAGAATAATTTCAGCCTGAAGCATCACAGATAAAAACCATTAGAAGTAAATACATACCAAAACCTGGGTACATAACAAAACTTATAAAAGGCTACCGGGGTCTGGGGGGAACACACAGTATCTGCTGCTGTTAGTGACATGTGAGGAAACAGGATGCTCTCTGACTTCAGAGTTTCTAGTTCTTTTGTTTAGACAGGGAGAGGCAATGAGAACTCTGAAATAACTACATAGCGAATTACAGCCTACTGATCATGCTAATGTAACACAAGCTGGAGGGTCACCACTGGACTGGAGTGGGCCTCTTGAAAACTGAGGCAAAGGCAGTTGAGTATGGCGTTTAAAAGCTCTGGCTTGGAGTGAAACAGGTGTAGACCTAAATTCTAGCTCCTTGACTCTGACTCTTGACTCTGCAGCCTTGGAAAGTTCCTTATCTACGTTTCCTCAATTTCTGTATTTAAAAACTGGAAGTGATAAAATACTAGTTGTGCATGAATCTGTATTGAAAATAAACAGATGATTCTTACCAATTAGCATCATACTGAGTGTTCAGTGACTATTAACTGTAATTATTTGGTGGGGAGGGCTGGTTGGTCCAGTGCTTGACTAACATCCAGGAAGCTCTGGGTTCAGTTCCTAGTGTCACATAAGCTGGGAATGGCGGTACACATCTGAAATCCCAGGGCTCCAGAGACAGATGTAAAATCAGAAATTCAAGATCATTCTCAATTATATAGCCATCCTATCTAAAAAGAAAGTACTTTTTAAAATGTAGTCTTTTTTTTTTTTTTTTAAAGCAAATTTCACTCTGTAGCCCAGGCTGGCCTGGAACTCAGAGGTCCACTTGCCTCTACCCACCAGTGCTGGGATTAAAGGTGTGCACCACGAAGCCCAGCTTGTTTTTGATTTTTGAGGCATGATGTTGTTATGTAACATAGGCTGGCCTGGAACTCATTATGTAGATGAAGCTGGCCTTGAATTCCTAATCTCAGGATTCTATGGCACAGATAAATAAGGATTCAAAGCAGTCTGGGTCCCAAGAAGGAGAGATCCGTGTGTGGGACCTGCCAAGAGCTGCTGTCTAGCCCCATTCTTAGGCCAAGACCGGCCGCAGGAGACCACTGCATCTTTCCAGCAGGTGTGGCGACTGTGTATCTGCTCTCATAATCTCCACCTCCCTCTCCTGTCCCTGCCTTCTTAGAGACTGTGTTCTTGTGTTGTTGGTCGTGGCGGGGGTGGGGGGTTGGTTTTTTGAGACAGGGTTTCTTGGAGCCTTGGTGCCTGTCCTGGATCTCACTCTGTAGCCCAGGCTGGCCTCGAACTCACAGAGATCAACCTGGCTCTGCCTCCCGAGTGTTAGGATTAAAGGGGTGTGCCATCATGCTTAGCTTAGAGACTGCATTGTAGACACTTTACCGCAGACCCCCCCTGCTCTCCACCCCACCCCGCAAGACACTGCTTGCTTTTCACCTCTTCTGAGGAGAGGCTGTAGTCAGCATCTGAAGTTCCTAGCAGCCTACTTCTCTGCGTGTCTCCACCTTGTTTTCCCTCAGTTTAGTAATTCTGCCTTGAACGTCAACGTGAGATTATAACCCCTAACGTGACATCTTCCGGGGGTTGCTATCTTCTAAGAGCCTCTAAGAGGTTAGAGATATCATTAGGGTAACAGTATTATGGTCCTAATGATGCCAATATTGTACACATTCTGAATTTGAGGGAACTGGAGCCCCAGAATCAAATGCTTTTCTGTGACTGAGAAATCTTTGAATTCTTAGAATCCAAATCTTTGAACTCTTGAGTTCCAAGCTCCTTCAGCAACTCCACAGATGATTTCAGCTCTTAAGTTTAGTGCATTGTGTCTGTGGGCAGGCTAGCTACTGACTGTTCTTGTCATTCTCTTAATTGAAAATTCCAAGTTCTTGGTACTGAAGCAACTTACCCTAGTCCACACAGCTGAGGATGAGAGACAGTTTGTGCCCAAGTCTCTGTGATTCCAAAGCTCAACTGTCTTCTATACCCTGTCGCTTTAAATACTTGGTGTGGGGTCAGGGGGTGAATGGAGAGAAAATGGGGCCAACAGTGATTAAATACCCGTGGAACATGAGAACCAAAGCTAACCTAGCCCTTCTGCTACCCACCCCGCCCCATGGCAGGTTGCGGGAACAGCGCGCTGAGCTACGAGTTATTCCTCGGAGGTTTCCCCAACGTGACCAGTGTGGATTACTCTCCAGTAGTGGTGACAGCCATGCGGGCTCGCTATGCCCACGTGCCCAGTCTGCGCTGGGAGACCATGGATGCGCGGGCACTGGACTTCCCTAGGGATTCCTTTGATGTTGTACTTGAGAAGGGCACGCTGGATGCCCTGCTGGCTGGGGAGCGGGATCCCTGGAACGTATCTTCTGAAGGGATCCACACTGTGGACCAGGTGCTGAGTGAGGTGAGGAAGCAGAAAGGCAGCAGATCAAGATGCTGGGGAGGGGTGGGGGGGCTGAACCTTCAAGAGGCCGGAAGGACTCAAAAATCAGAAACTTCGCAAGTATGGTTTTCTGAAGGACAGATGAGACTGGAGTGGCCAGGCTCACAAGTACTGGTTTGACACAGGGAAGAGTGAGTTAAGTAGCCAGGTTCCAGACCCGTGACACAGATGGGAAAGTGAGTGGCCAACAGGAAAGCAACACCTCCTGCGGGACTAGGCTCCTCCCTGTCCAGAATTGAGCCCCATATAGCACAACCAAAGGCAGAGAGAGGCTTACTCTGCCTCAGAAAGCCTGAGCTACTGGATAGAGTGTGGTATCTAAGGCTTGATTAGGAGGTCACTGTGGGCAGTACTGACCTTTGAGAACCTGGAGATGATTCCACACTGACGGCTTCTCTGTCTGCCTTGCAGGTGAGCCGGGTGCTGGTCCCTGGAGGCCGGTTCATCTCAATGACTTCTGCGGGTCCCCACTTTAGGACCAGACACTATGCTCAGTCCCGTTATGGCTGGTCACTGAGGCATACAACCTACGGCAGTGGTTTTCATTTCCACTTTTACGTCATGCATAAAGGCAGAGAGCTCACTGTGGCCCAGCTGGGCCTGGGGGCCCAGATCTTGTCACCCCCCAGTCCTCCTGCCTCACCCTGCTTCCTGCAAGACTCAGATAATGAGGACTTCCTCAACGCCATTCATCTGTGAGATTGGAAGCATGGTCTCCAAGCCTCCCTGGCTTTATGCATTAGGCTCCCAGGGAGATGGAATCCCCAAATTGGGGCTGAGGACTTGGTTACTGGGTTCTCAAATCCCAGAGGTCTCATGCGTAAACAGTGCTGGTGGGATTAAGCCCATGTCAACCAATACAGTATGAGTCCAACTAGTTCCCAGACCCCAAGGTTCTGACTTCCAGGTTTCTTATTTCTACAGGCTTTTCTCACCTCCTCCGACATACTGAATGACTTTGTGATTTATCTTTTGGGGTAAAGTTCAACACGGCTCCTCTGCAAACCAGCTGGCCTTGGGTATTCCCATCCAAGGTAGATTTATCCTTAAGAGGCTAAGGATCTTGAATTTAGATTGCTTATGCTTCTGATCCCAGCCCAGCCCCAATGCTGGCAACCTGTCCTGCTTAGGCTAAGCATGTACTTAAGGAGGCCATATAGTTAAGACGTTCCCACACAAGGGTACCTGGCTAGTGCTCACTCGGTGACCCTTCCCCACCAGGAACTTGCACCCAAGATTGTCCACACCTGTCTCCCAGCAGACTGAAGTAGCAGACACACACACGCACACACACTCACACACACGGAGGTCTGTGTTTATTCACACACTCCTGTTACATTGAGGATGGAGAAACATTTTTACAAAGGACAACCCTGGGTTGAAAACATCTTCAGGTCCACAGGTGTCATCCAAAGGTACTGAGCAGTCCCCACTTGGGTTCCCAGGGATAGCGTGAAGGGGTCCAAGGTAAAATCAGATCTGGGCCCTTAGAAGGTGATACCTTGGGAGGAAGGAGCCTCCCAATGAGCCTCCTGGGGTCAGGTTTGGGCGGACTGGCCATGTGGTTAGTTACCATGTTGGGGGCTTGTCCCGTCCCAGTCTCAACACCCGTCCTATCTGCCAGGCGCAGAAGAGCATGGCGGAGGCTGTGGGGGAAGGGCACAAACCATGAGAGGAGCCGGTAAACAAAGAATCGGATATAAAAATACAAATGTGCTGAGGAAGTCCCTTAGAAAGAGGCTGGGGTCACGCCAGACAGGGATACAGTCGAGGAAAGGCCCGGAGGGCTAGGCTGAGGTGGGTAGGAAGCTCATGCAAATATGCAGCCAAACCTCCCTGGCCGCGCAGTCCGACGCCGCCGCAGCTGCCCGGGCTGCAGACCAGATTGATCGGAGGAGGGGCGGGGCAGGGGAGCCGTGCGGGAGGGGCTGGGCTGGGGGGCCGTGGGTCTCTGTGTCGGTTCCGGTGTGCGGGGTGGAGCTGCGGCCCGAGGTTCTAAAGTGCATGAGTGCGTCGGCGGGCTCCGGGCTGGTCCGCACCACCACTACCGCCGCCGCCGTGGTGCTGAAGCGGACAGCTCCGGAGCGCCTGGCAGCGGCGGTAGCAACACTGACCCCGCGGCGGCCTGGCCCTGCAGCCCCC